CCTTTTATCCAGGAGTGTCCAGAGCCAGGGTCTGCAGCAAGCAGGCTTCCTGCCTGCTAGGTCTACCCTCCCTTGGGTCAGATGTGATGGGAAGTCAGGACAGCTCTCCGGGGAGAAGAAGGACGATATAAACCCTAGAAAATTCACCATGACACTCCCATGTTAGGCAGAGGAAAACAAAGGCATAGTTTTAGATTCTTTAGATTCTAGACCTGCTAGACTCAGCATCCTGGAGTCCTGGGCTCCCAGGACCGTGGAATGCTTTGGGCGGTGGTCCAGAATCTAAGGAAAGCTGCATCAGGATCTTGAGTTAGCAGGTGCCTTCGAGGGCATGGCACCTAATGGGCTGCGGCGCCAGCACCTCCCAGACGGTCACCTGCTCCGCAGCCCCTGCAAGCAAGGCTTTTATGGATGCCAACATGGCGGGGACGTGAACACTTAGGTTTTCACTACAGCTGTGCCCATCCAGGAGCTCTGGGGCCCAGGCCTCTCCAAACTCCACCTTCCCCTGCCAGCCCCGAGGCCAGCCTGGATGCGGTCGGTGTCTGGGATGGTCGTGTGATCTGCCACCTCCGCCCCCCCTCCACCCCTCCCCCAGCTCTCCAGCCCCCCCCACTGGAGCCCGGCAGGTGAGGCAATGGGGACCGAGGGGCTGATGAGGAGAATGTCTTCAGCAGCCACAGGCCCGGGGAGCCGAGCGGATATTGATTTGGTCTATGGGAGCAAAGGGACCCGTTAAACGGGCTGCTGTGAAATCGCTCTGCCTGAAGCCAGCCATCCCTGCGGGTGGGCGGGGGACCTGGCGGGCAGGCGGTGGCTGGGCCAGCCTGTGGCTAGCACCCTGGTGGCGGTGGTCTCGGACACCCTGGCTCTAATGTACCAGCCCAGGGCCCGAGGCGGCCTGGTGCCCACAGACCCCTGAGCTCCAGCCACACCCCGCTTCTTGGCCTCCCCCCAGCAAACGGGGCGCCATGCCTTCGCTCATGCAGACCCCTCCCCTTTGCCTCTTCCTCCATCTCTTGAAATCCTCCTCAGGTTTCCAGACCCAGTGCAAATGGCACTTCCTCCATGAAGTCTTCCAGGTTTTCTACTCTCTATCCCCGACACTTTGAGAGAGGTGGGTTTTCTCTGGACTGCCTTCTCCAGTCCCTGTGACACCTATTAAAATCTGCTTGGTCTCCTCTCCCTCCCGTGCGGAGCCCTGTCTGGCTACTCCGGTTCATATACCCATTCAGCCAGAGGCCACCTCCATCCCTCGGACACCCATCACAGACATGCAGCCACGGAGTCTGGGGCTTGAATCCTTGCCCTGCCCCTTACGGCTCTATAACCTTGGACTACTTGCTTCTGTCCCTGGGCCTCAGTTTCCTCATCAATAAATAGAGATACTGGGCTCTACCTTTCAAAATCGTGAGAATTAAATGAGACAACTTTTGCAGAGGCCCAGAGAGGGCCAGTGGCTGCCTGGAGTCACACAGCAAGAGAGTGGAAAACATGCCGGGATTTCTGCCTCCCAGCCCCAGACTCCCCCTACCCCATTCAGCCTCCCGTGGTCCAGGGTCCCGGGCGGGGGCCTGCATCCTGCTGGAGGCCTGCTCTGTGTAACCTGGCAGCTGGTCACCATGACCTGAGGAACGACAGACCATCTGCCTGCTCAGGGCTGCGCCCGGGCCCCCCTTGGTTGTTTCTCTGGCCTGACCTGGCCTCCCCAGGGGCCCTTATCTGTCCATTCTCTCCTTTCCCACCAACCTAATCTCTCCGTCTTTTCAGGAGTTCCTGTTTCCTCTCTGCCGCCTTCTTGTCTCCCTCCTCAGGCCCCGTCTCTCCCATGTCTCCAGTCAGCCTCCCACACTTGGTTCAGAAGCCTCCTCGGAGCAGCTGGTCCTGTCATCCTTGGGGAGTCACGCTCTCTCGCGGGCCTTCTGGGCTTCACAGAGCCCAGTCTGGGCCTGCGCTCCTCTTAGGCAAGAGGGAGGTGGAGCGTTCTGACACCCACAGGGCCATACCTGGGCCTTTTACATTTTTTGGCTATTGGTTCAGGGGCCTCTACAGGGTTCCAAGGCAATGGTTTGAAGAGTTCTACTCCAAAAGTCCAAAATACCAAGATTTTATGGCTTGAAATCTCTGCACACAATGAGATCCTGAGACCCTAGAGCTCTGAGGTTCTGGGATTCACACTGGAGGCCCCGCCCCTGTCTCACCGGGGTAGATGCTCAGCCTAGCTGCATGCTTCGAACCCTGATCTGGCCGGGGAGGAACAGTGCAGACACCTGTCCCCCACCCCCTCTTGATTGCCCAGCCCCTGACCAGCCAGAGGGGTGCAGGGCCTCGTTGCTGGCCTGGGCACTGGCAAGTGGCAGGTGTATGAGGCCCACTGAGTCGGGGTCCCAGCTGGGTCTCCTGTCCTGAGCCGGGAAGAGTCTTCTGCCTTTTATGCCGCTCTTCCTGCACCTGGCCGGAGTGAGGACTCGTGAGAAGGGTGCAGGGTCTGGTGGCAGACACACCTGGGCCCCCAGCCCCGCACCACAGTGGACCTACTGTGAGATCTGGGGCAAGCCACCTCCTCTGCAGAGCCCTGAGGTTTGTGATCACCCTTTCTGAGAATCACTCTGGGTCCTTGGTCCGATTTTTTCATTTGCTTGTTCTGGTTAAGGTCCAAAGAACACCCCAAAATCCAACATTTCTGAGGCATGAGCTCAGCCCCAGGTGTGCCACTCCCAGATCCCAGATCCCCCGGTGCACTGGGCCAGTCCTAGCTCCCGAGGAGGCTCCAGATGGGTGGGGGAGGCAGACACAGACACAACACAGACCTGTACTACAACCTGGTTCAATGCAATGTCCCCGAGGAGCACAATGGCCATGGGAACCCAGAGGAGGTCCAGGCGGAGGGTGGTCAGGGAAGGCTTCCCGGAGGAGAGGACCAGTCAGCTGGGCCTTGAAGGAAGATTGGACAGTGGCTGGCCACAGAGAGCATGAGTGTGATGGCTGCTTTAATGGTTCAGAGGGTTGCAGGGAGCCCGAGGAGGGAGAGATCCCTCCCACCCGGGTCGCTAGGGAAGGCTTGCTAGAGATGGTCACGACAGCTGAACAGGACTCCAACAGGGAAAGTTCCATTCCAGGCCTGTGAAGCACAGCAGATAGCCAGAGGCAGGCCCAGCAGTCAGGTTTCTGCATCCATGAGTGCATGTGTGGTCTGCTTGTGGCTGGAGCAGAGGGCAGGCCTGGGCAATTGCAGGAAATGTGCCTGGAAGAGTGACCTATGACCTGGGGGAGAGGCCTTGGATGCCGGGCCAGGGAACTGGGGACTGGTTTTGCAGGCCGTGTGGAGCAAGGGGCAGCCCTGGGCCCGGAAGACAGCACACTCCAGGGCCTGTTCAGTGCAGACTGAGTTTTCTGCAGAGATGCTAGCGAGAGCCTCTCCCTGGGATGCCCTGCAACCCCACCACCAGCCTTATCAGCTCTGTAACCACAGGAAAGGCCCTTCCCATCTCGGAATTTCCTCATCTGCAAAACAGATTGGGAGACCAGAAGACTTATCTTGAGGTTCCTTCCAGCCTGTGATTCTGTGACTCTGGCCACCCCGAGGCGAGCTCCCAGGCAGGGACTTGGAGGGTGGCCACACAGCCCTCTCTCTTCCCCTCAGTGATCAGACCAGCCTCTGGTGGGGGCGGGGGTGGATGTCCATAACATCCCACCCCCAGGTGCCTGCTTCACTTCACCAAATCCTGCCCGGGCTCCAAGGCCCTGCTCTGTCCCAACCCCTCCAGGGGGTGCCTTAGCTAGCTCTGGGCAGCGGAGAGCCCTCCCCTGTGTTCACGTCTCCTCCCCCCAACACAGAAATTCTGGTTACTCCCTTTGCTTACATCCTTGGACTTGTGGGGTCACCCCATGGCCAGAGCACGTGTGATTCACTAACTGCTTCTCTCTGGGGGGACCTGCCGAGGGCCAGGCGCGGAGGATACCCTCTACTTGCCCATCAGCACCACCCACCACCTGCCCAGGAGAGGAAGCTGAAGCTCAGAGAGGGCAGAGCTGACCACACTGAGACCCTCCCATCTCCCTGGCTGCTACTTCTCAGCGCCTTTGCCTCTTTCCCCCTCCATCTCCCTGACCTCCGAAGCCAAGATGCCCCAGGCTCTGGCCTTGGTCCTTTTTGCTTTTCTATCCCACCCCTGCTTAGTGATGATGCCTAAATGTGCATCTCAGCCTCTCCCCACCAATGCCACTTGGGACTGAATCGACCTCACAATCCCCATGTGGCCAAGTCTGAGCACCAGTCCTCTCTCCATCCCCGTCTCAGGGCTTCGAGGTACCCCAGGCAAACGCTTGTGACCTTCTTGATCCTCCTTCGCCCACACCCCGCAGCCATAAAGAGAGCAAATCCCCATGGCTCCACCTTTGACACAGAACAGGAATCCAGACGCTTCTCACCACACCCAGGGCAGCCAGCCTGGCCCAGACAGAGGTGGGGGGGCGGAGGGGGGGGGTTCCCAACCACCAACCTTAATTTTCGCCATCCCCCTTTTACAAATAGGGAAACTGAGGCACAGAGGGTGGGTGGGTGGGGAGCCTCCCCCAGAGTCACACAGAACACCCACGAGGGCTGACAGGAGCCTGGGTCTGCCACTACCTCCCTGAAGTCTGCGTCCCCAGCTCCCCCAGTAGATTTTCTCCGGAAGCTAGCTTAGCAGGTCTGACGACACAGCCAGGCTATGCCGGCCTGCGTGTGTGTCCCTGAGGAACAAAGAATCTGCCAGCTGGGTTTATGTTTCAAGACGTCTGTCCTCGCCCTTGACCAAGAGATCTTACGGGGAGATCAGGGCCGGAGCTGGGGGGCTAGGGACATCAATCGCAAGCCGCCTTGCCTGGAAACCCGAGAGTTCACCCGGCCCGGCCCCCGGGGCCTTCTGAGTTCGCTTGAGGAGGCCACAGACCTGAGGGGCGGGCTGGAGTTCTCTCGCCGTTTATTTCACACAGCTGTTTAAAAAGCTTGTTTAAAATAGAGATCATTATATATATTTATTTATATATATATATAAAATATATAAAGAGGAATTGAGGCAAGCCACCCCAAAGAAAAAGCTATGTTTTATAAATATTTCTGTAGCTCCCACATCCCAGAGGAAGAAACAAAACGAAACAACAACAAAAAAACATTTACAACCCAAGCTAGTGGTTCCATGTGGTGGGCCCAGTAGGCTCAGACCCTGGGGGCAGCCGTGGGGGTCTCGAGGGCAGGGCCTGCAGAACATTCTAATGAGGGCAGGCAGACCCCCCCCTCCCTTCCCGGGGGGGTTGGCGTCTCTGGCCGTGAAAGGTCAAGTCCGTACCAGTCCTGCCAACCCCAGGCCCCTGGCTTCTCAGAGCGGCCTGGAAGGCGGCGAGTGGGCCCTCCCGGGCTCCGGCTGCCAGGTTATTTTTAATCTTGCCGGTTTCCTTTGATGTCCCGGCCCTCCTTCCAGGGTGGCCAGGCCTTCTGTCCCCGGCGGCTGCCAAGCGGAGGCCAAGCACAAGCCACCTCCCAGGCCTGGCATCTGGGATCCCCGAGCGGCCACCCCGGGGTGTGTCCGGGCCCCTGGTGGGGGCGGGGCTCCGAGGGCCCCGGCGCGGGCGGGGCGGCGTCACTTGCAGACGTAGCGCTCTACGGTGCGCTCGCAGCGGCGGCACGTGACGTAGCAACACCAGTGGTACTTGCAGTGGCAGCGCTCGACCACGCGGTCCGTGTAGGGGTTGTAGCCGCGGCCGCAGCACATGAGGTCACAGCTGTCGCTGCCGTGGGACGTCTTGTTGCACTGCCTGGGGGGTGGGGGAAGGGGCGGTCAGGGAGTGCCCGCTCCCAGCCCCCACCCCTCCCCGGGGGCCCGCAGCCTCCCACTGCCCTCGGGCTGCCCCCCCCCCCCAGCTCCTCTTGTAAGGTGTCTTGCTCTTGGGGGAATTGTAGATAATCCCTTTTCCTGAGAGTACTTCTCCCTTTCCCCTAGATTTCTTTTTTTTTAATTTATTTGACAGAGACGTAGCGAGAGAGAGCGGGAACACAAGCCGGGAGAGTGGGAGAGGGAGAAGCAGGCTTCCCTGCAGAGCAGGGAGCCCGATGTGGGGGCTCGATCCCAGGACCCTGGGATCACGACCTGAGCCGAAGGCAGACGCTTAACGACTGAGCCACCCAGGCGCCCCTCCCCTAGATTTCTAATAGGCATGTATCAAAACGACGGGAGTGTCTTGTTTCCTTGGAGGTGTCTTTTTTTTTTTTTTCCTTCTACTTCTAAATACTGGAAGGAGCCTCAAACCACCCTAATGATCCTGTCTTCATATCCGTTCTTGAATTATATTGTAACAAATGTAAAGATCGTTTTTACATTGAGAATCCCAGGATAATTCTGGAATAGACAAAACGGCGCTGGAGGCAAAGTGAGTATGGGGCACTCTGTTCGTTGAGAGAGAGCCTCTGTCAACCATTTGCCCCTATGTGCCAGGCGCTTCCCGCCAGTATTTTATCTTCTAGGAGGCACGCAGGGTCCTTGGGTCAGTGGGATTATTATGCCCATTGTACAGATAGTAATGGGCTCGGCAAAGGGCAGAGGCCTGCTCAAGTTCTCATAGGAGTCTGTGGGCAAGCAGGGCTGAAGCTCAGGGGTCCTGAAACCAAGCCTAGCACACGCTCTCCCTACCCTAACGGCAGACAACCCAGAGGCTTCCAGGGGCTGCATATCTTTCCGAATCACACTCCTGGGGAGAAGACAAGGCAAAGGACCGGACCTAATCTAAGAGGCGAGAACAGATGGAAGGGGTAGGGCTGTAAGTAGGGAGGCCGGAGAAAGAGAGGCTGAGACCAGGGCTGAGAGGAGGCCATGGGGTGAGAAGGGGGGCGCGGTGCACGGAAGGAGAATCAGGAGGTGATGGTGGCCTGCAGGTCGGGGCTGCCAACAGTTCCAGGCGGGAAGGAACAGCGGAAGAACACATGCCCCAGAGGCAGACAGACCTGGGTTCAAGCCCCAGCACTGCCACTTACTGGCCGTGTGAATCAAGGCAAGCCACCTAGTCACTCAACCCCATTCGTGCCCCTGAGCCATATCCTGGAGGTCTCCGGATGACTCCTCCAGGAAAGGGGGGAAGAGGGAAGAGTTTCATTTTTATTTCTAGATCCCTGACATGCAATGTTTGAAACCTGGCCTCCAACCCCAGAACCAGACAAGATCTGCAGGGGGCTGGAGAGAGTGGGACTTGGAGAAAGATCCAGGGGCCCAGGGCAGGTTTCATCAGTGCAGAGGCCGCTGAAAGAAACATGACAAGAGGGCTGGGGTTTGGAATGGTGACCGCTGCTGAGGCCTCAGTTCACCAAGCTGGATGTGAGGAGGGCCGCAGGGCACTGTCCCCAGCTAGGGGGCCAGCCTCTAGAGAGGTGCCACCCGTGCGCATGCTTCTTACAGTTAACGAAGCTCATTTATCTCCAACCCCTCGTACTTCCAAATCCGCTCACCTAGTAAAGCTCACGTTTCCCCCTCCTCCAGGAAGCCTTCCTTGATGTCCAGGCTGAGCCAGGGCACCTCAAGACTCCCCTCACCCTTGGGCTTTCCTCTGTCACAATCCAACCACTTATCTCTCCCCCTTCCCTATGCCTGCCAGAGCGTCCATGTAATAAACAGACGGGAAAGAGTCTGTGGTAAGCTACTGAGATCTTGGAGCTGTTTGTTACTGCAGGAAAAGCTGACCCACACAGATGTCTGCAAAAGCCCATCTTCAGAGGAATGGCTGAGAGCTGAGCGTGGCAGGCAACCTGGTGGCAAGTGGGAAGGAGGCATTCAGAGAAAGCAAGGAAGGCAGCTGGTGCTGTGGGATGGGGCCTCCTGGTCAGTGGTTTGGGGGCAAGCGGAGTGGGGGGCCCTGGGAAAGCAGAGGCCTGGCAGCCTGGGGGGTGGGGAGGAGAGAGCACCATTGATGAGCCCTTCCCATGGGACTGACATAGCACAGAGGAGCTGCCCCGTAAGTGTAACTGGCGCTGGCTGGCCACCCCTCTGAGGGGTGTGGTACCCTCTGCATTGCGCAGAAGATGAGGCTGAGCCTCAGAGATGCGAACACATTCGCTCAAGGTCCCACAGCTAGGAAACTGTGGCGCGGGGGTGGGAACGAGCCTTCCCTCACACATGTGCGTGCACACACATCCCCCCATGGATCCGGGGAGGCCCTCTGTGTGCTCTGGGCTTTCCCTAGCCTCTCTGGGTTCTAGAATCCTTCTGCCCTCCCCCCATCCTCATCACACCCACCCTGGCTGCCTCAGACCCAGACTCTCGCTCCTTCCTGTCTCCTGGGCCCGACCTGGTTCCATCTTCACTCCACCCGACCCCCCTCAATCTGGCCTCCAGATGGGAGCCAGGGCCTCCTCGCAGAGCCTGCTGCCCTGGCCTATGAAGACGGAGCCCCCCCCGCCCAAACCAGCCCCCCTCTCTTGGGAGACAGGAACGGGGGCTGCGGAGGAAGCAAATGCTGGCCGGGCACCAACTATGTGCCAGACACGTTCTCAGACACCCTCGCTCTGGTTCAATATTCTTTTAACCCCGCAGAACACTAGTTTTGTGGAATGCTATTAAGGGCTCCTTAATAAAAGAGTTCCACAGCCAAACACCTCTGGGAAACGTTGGCTTAGGCAGATCCTTTACTGTGGGATTCCTATGAGCCTTTAAAATGTTCTCGTGCTTTGCAAATCGCCAAAGAGAATTTCCCACTCACAGCTGATTGCAGGACTGTCTCTATTATAGCATCTCGGGACTAACTTCCCCCAGAGCCATCTATGGGAAATACTGCTGCCCTGAATCCTCACCAGCCCTGCCTGGCACACAGTAGGTCTGCAGTCACCCCGGTTCCCTTTCTTTCTCCTGTCCTCAGCCGGCTTTGGCGGTAGTGATGGGGCCCCAGCCCCGGCTCTGAAACTGGGGACCAAGGGGAGAGAGAGCTGGGGCCTGGGAGGTGGGCGCGTGCCTGTCAGGGGACATGGGACTCTGTCTGTCCTCAAGCCAGGCCTCCCGCTCCTGGTGGCCCTCTGAAAAGCAGGCGCCCAGGCTCCGTCTCCAGCTCTATGCAGACTGCCTGCGCGGCTGTGGGCTGGCTACTGAGCCCTTGTGCCTCAGGTCCTTATTTGTCCAACCAGCGGCTTAGACGACATTGACCCTTCACTCACTCACTTGACAAACACTTATGAGGACCTGTCTTCTGCGGGGCAGCTTCTGTCCCTGCCAGCCTCCCAGTGTGGTCCTGTCTTTCCCCATCTTCCCACCAGGGGGAAGGAGGGGGCTCTCACCAGCCTCCACTCCCCAGCGGCCCCTGCCTGAGCAAGGTACACAGCGGCCCCTCCCAAGAGCTCTGCTGGGGGCCCCCTGGACCCTGGCACCTCTGCTCGGCACTCCTGGGGCCACCTCCCTCAACCGGGCAGGGACTCCATCCCCCAAATGGCAGCCGAGGTGAGACTCTGTGCCTGGCCTTGCGCTGGTGTGGGGCCTATCAGCAAAGCTGACCCCTTCCTGCCAGGGTGGCAGCAGGCCCTTACCTGTCTTGCGTCCCATGGGAGCCCACCTTCTCGTTCTTCATGCAGAAGTCAGGTGAGCTCTGCAGATAGACAAGCTCCGAGTCCTTCACAGGCCTGATATCGAGGTCCTTGGGCACCAGGTGCTTGCGGGTGCCCATGGGTCGGTGCACTACCTTGGTGGCTGACAGGTAGCGGGTCTTGAGGTCAGCAGCCACATCCCGAAGCTCCTGCAGCCCCTTCCAGCAGGTGCGGATGGAGCAGGACCCAGATACCCCGTGGCATTTACACTTCATTTCCAGAGAGGCGCGCAGAGCCTGCAGACAGGGGAGGGCGTCGGGCTGGGCGGCCAGAGCCCTCTCCCTGGCCTGCCCGGGGACCCTGCCCCACCCCCACACATGCTGGGTGCTATCAGGGAGTCATTGCCTACTCTGGGCCTCAGGTGAGGGAGCTTTTGGCTCTAAAGCTGGGGACTGTTGCTGGTTCTCAGCTCCTTCCCCAGCCTGGGGGTGGCTGGCAGGGACAGGAAGGGAGTGGCATTTGCAGGCGTAACAGATGTCAAGTGCCCGAATACATAATATGGCTTAATCATCATAACAGTCCTTCACGGGAGATATCGGAGATATCGTTACTTTCCCCATTTTCAAAAGAGGAAACAAAGGCTCCGGGAGGCCAAGTCGCAAGCTCAAGGTTGCACAGCTAGAAAATCCTGAAGCCGGGATCTGAACTCAGGTCTGAAGGCAATTCCAAAAGCCATGGCTTTTAATTGTTCCACGCTTTTCTCTTGCACAAAACTGGGGCTCACTGAATGCTTGTTGGAAGAAAGCGAAAAAAGAGAAGGAAGGAAGGGGAGGAATGAGGAGGGGGGCGGAGGGGGGCAAAGAGGCAGGAGGTAAGTGCATGGGGGCGTATTCCCTGGCCTGGCTGGCCCTTCCCCTCCACTGCCTGGTGACCCCCAGCAGCCTCCCCCCGCCCTGGCCACCGGTCAGCAGCTCTGTCCTACTCTGTGCAGGGCAGGCACGTAACTGCTACCTTGCAGAATGGTTGCGGAGGAAACGGTTTTGTGAACTCTAAAAGTCAAATCAACACTGGTTTGAAAAATCAGTCCAATGATTGTGGTGGAGCCGGGAGGCTTGGGCTCTGGAGCTTGGGGAGACTCTAGTCCCGGCTTCCGAAATGACTCTGTCCCATCATCTTCCTTGGGCCTCAGTTTCCCCAGGTGTACCTGAGGGGCATGAGTTAGATAGATGTCTTCTGCAGGCAGTAAAGTTTTGCGTTTTAACCCTTGCTTCTTGGCACACAAGACTCGGATCCCTCTGCCCAGGCCAGCCCTCCTGTGTGGACCTGCAAGGTTTATGGGTCCCCTGGGCCTACCCCTGCATTAGAAAGATGGGGAAACTGAGGCACAGGGAGGGCAGAGACTTGCCCAAAGTCATTCGGTGAGTTAGTGCAGGAGCTGGTAAGGTCCCAGGGCTCCTCTCCTTCACCGGTGCCAGGAAGTGGGGAACGAGGGAGTCCACTGGGTCTAGAATCTGGAATTGGCTCAGCAAAGCCTGTGAAGAGCACAGGAATGAGGTGAACCCGCCTGCAGGGCACATTCAACCTCCCAAGGGCATCAAGGTACTTTTGAATCATCAAGGACAGGTAACTACTGCTGCAGGCCCCTAGTGTCTCTTGGCCTCAGTTTCCCCAACTGTCCAAACACGGCCTGGACATCCTAGAATCCTTCCATGAGGGAGACCAGTGAGAGAGAAAGGTGAGGATGTGGAAACCTCTGGACTTGGAGTCCCACAGACCTGGGCTCCATCGCACCCTGCATCCTTGGCCAAGCCACCTAAGCTCTCTCTGCCCCCCTTGCTGCCTCTGTACAATGGGCCTGCTGGGCCTGCAGGAAAGCGTGAGGAACCATCTGCGCCTGATGCTCCACGCCTCAGGCCCCCCGCTCCCTGTTTGTAAGAGGGTAGCAGCCCCTCCTCACAGGGGGGTTTGTGGACCACAGGACAGACAACTCATCAGGCACCACCACAGTGCTCACAGTGCTCAGAGTGGTATAAAGCGTTGTGTTTTTTTTAATTTTCTAAAAATAAAAAGGTCCATTCATTCACTTATGCATTCACCCCAACCTTCTGTGGAATGAGGTGAGGAATTAATGAGAAACTGGGAGCAACAGACGCTGGGGGCCATCTGAGTCTGGAGCTGGATGGGAATCCCCATTAGGGCCAAGGAGACGACCCCGGAGGCTAAGGCTCTTGCCCCACAGCCCTCCCCACGCCTCCTCCCACACCCAGCCCCGGCCGGAGGCCCCACGGGAGGAGCCTGAGGAACACGGCCAATGGGGACTAGAGCGTACCCAGCCAGTCCATTTTATAGATGGAAACACTGAGGCCAGAGAGGAAGTGACTTGCCCAACATCATCCAGCCAGTTTAGTGCCAGAGCCAAGGCGGGAACTCGGAGCTCCTGACTCCTAGCTCAGTGTTCCTTCTGCTCCACCCAACATTTTCAATTGAAATCCTGGTGGACCCCCTAGAGGAGGAGGAGGAGCCTGGCAAGCCCCAAGCAGCTGGAAAGGGGAGAGCCAAGGGGGGGCCGGGAGCACATGGGTGTGGGTGGATCAGGGCCCGCCGCCCGCCCCCCACTCCATCGAGGCACACTGGTGGCCCTTTCCTGGCCGATTGGCACAAGCACAACCATCTGGGGTGGGTGGGGTGGGTGGTTACCTGTCTCCCCACTTCACTGTTGTGTAGACGCATCAGTTTATTGGCTTGGGATCCTGTTTTTTTCACCTTCATAGGAGCATCGGAAAACTTGGCCCCCATGAGGAGCCCGTAGCTGAGGTTGTCCGCACATCCTCCCCAGCGGTTCCCGGGCCCGGGTGGCTCACCTGGGACAGGGCCGCAGGAGCAGCCGGGCAGGTCGCCGGAGGTGCAGGCCCGGGCGATGGCGTGGCTGATGGCGGCCGCCGACAGCGCATACACGAAGGCTGACTCCCGGGTCCCTATGGGGAGGTGCTGGGTCAGCTGGCGCGGGTGACCCGGGGACAGGACCCCACCCAGGCCTGAGGGCCTCCTCCTGAGTCCCTGCCTGCCTCGGTGGGGCCGGCAGAGGACAGGGGCTGCAACCAGGGGGAGGACAGCCCTAGGGACATTAATCTGTCGCTTGCCCATTCTCCCACACATACATTAGCTGACTTGGACACTCACTCGAAAACTCAGCCCCACATACCCAGAGGCACCTTGCTCCCACACACTCACGATTCTGGACCTGCCCCTGCTTCCCCGCGCTCTGTGTTAGGGGCTACTCTTCAAAGAACTTGTCCCCGAGGGGCAGATGAGTGTGCAAAAAGCCAGCTGTAGGTTGAAATTTGTCCCCCAAAAAGATAGGGTCAAGTTCTGACCCCTGGTACCTGTGAACATGACCTTATTTACAAACAAGGTCTTGACAGGTGTGATGGAACTAAGATGAGGTCATCCTGGATCACAGTGGGCCCGAATCCAATGACTGGTGTCCTTACAGGAAGGGGGAATCGTGGATACAGACACGTGGCGGGGGGGCCCCACGGGACAGAAGGAGGGATTGAGGCGACGCATCGACAAGCAAAGGAACAGCAAGGCTGCTGGCTGCCACCGAAAGTTAAGAAGAGGCCAGGAAGGATCCTCCCCGGGGCCATCGGAGGGAGCACAGCCCTGCCGGCTCCTTGATTTCAGACTTCTAGCTTCCAGAACTATGGGCAATCCAGTTTTGTTGTTCGAAGCCCCTGTTTGTGGGACTTTGTCACAGCAGCCTCGGGAAACCAATCCAGAGCCCAACGTGCCTCTCCTGTAGGGTGTCCTTGCCTTAGCTCCACACACGTCCCCTCCCCTTCTCAAGCCTCAGTTTGCTTAACTGCAGAATGGGAATGATAATACCTACCTCACAGGCTTCCTCTAGAGTTCAAATAATTTGGGAAGGAAGGAAGCTTTGTCAAGTGCTCCACAAACCTTAGCTGTTACCGTGCAGGGGAGACGTTAGACCCGCTGGGGCCCTTCTGCCCATCAGAAACCCCCAAAGCCACCCCGGAAGGCACCTGCTCCGGACAGCGGGGCCGCTACCTCCCGCTGTGCATCTCACAGCGTCTGCCGTCACGTCGGTCTAGAATGACCTGTGCCCGCCTGTCTGCCCGAGGGGGGTGCTCTCCCGCCCTCGTGTTACCGCCTCCCCTCCCAAGAGCCTCCTGGGCCGCACCCACCCTTGCTTCGTGCAGCAGGGTACACATGCATCCGTGCTCCCCCTACACTGGTATATTCACTCACTCTGTGCTCACTCACTCATCAGTTCAGGCCTGGATACCCACGTCTGTCACTACTTCAGCCACCCATCCATCCACACCCGTATTCTTCTCTGTGCGCCCGTCCGTCCCCCACCTAGTCACTCACCCACCCGTCGCACAGCCATCAACATCCAGCCAGCCAGCCATGAACTCACCCACCCGTCCAAACACACATACACGTCCGCCTGAATTCGTCCGCCCCACCCGCGCGCACTCCGCAGGCCCCGGCAGCCCCCGGCGGCTCCCTACCTCTCTCCAGGTCAAGCAGGTAGTTGGGGGCAAGCTCGATGGAGGAGCAGTTCCAGCGCATGTCCGCAAAGGCCCTGCGGCAGGCCTTGGTGACCTCGCGGGCGGCGTGCACGACGGTGCGCATGAGCTCCAGGTTGCTGCGGCAGAGCTGCACCTGCGCAGACACCAGCCCCTCCAGCTGCTTGCAGTGCTGCGTCTGGTTCAGCGCCAGGGCCGCCGGGGTCTTGGACAGCGCCCTGCACACCACCGGAGGGCGACCACCAGTGGGAGGAAAGACGGCGTGAGGGGCCACGGCGCGCCTGCCCCTCGGGTCCCAGCCTTCCCTCAGTGGGCTCGGGGGCCTTTGCTGGAAGGAGCTGGGAAGCTAAGACGCACTGAACTGAGGCCCTCCAGCTCCCAGTGGCCTTGGGCACGTCACTGTCCCTCTCCGGGCCAGGCCCTCGTTCCTAACGTAGGATCATGACCTCCACCCCACCTACGCTTGCTTCACTATCGTCAGCCTAACAAGAAACAGTTTCACAGCTCACAAAAAGCACTCACACCCGCTTCCTTGTTTAGTTCTCGCACGGCTGTGAATTAGGACCCCTTACTCAGCAGCCAACGCCGAGCCCCTGTGTGTGCCGGACGCCGCGCTCCGTGCTGGGTTCCAGTCACCTCAGAATCCGTGCCATTACCTGAGCACTTGCTAGATGCACAGTCTGAGTTAGGAGCTCACCATACATCCCTTCGTGTAATTACTAAAGTCATTTATTGGGCTGTAAAATCCCACACACATGCAAAGAATTTATTAAAGGATTAAGGAGCCACTCAATTTTGTGATAAATTAGACTTGGCCATGAACTTGCTGTGTGCCCTTAGATGAATCACTGTCCTCTTCTGGGCTTCAGTGTCTGTACCTGTAAACTCTATTTCCCAGAATCGGTTCCAGTGAGGTACTCTGAAAAACGGGATCCATGCATAAGCACATCTGGGGAACCTGCTATGCTCTGTCCCCGTTTGGAGAGTAACTGAAGCACGTTCACATTTTAAAGGCCCTGCCTGAGAAGTCCCACAGCAAAGCAACAAGCTTGGTTCTGTTTAACTCAGGAGGTGGCTAAGCAAAAAGCCCTTTGTTTGAGAAACGCTGACCTCATCCATGCTTTGGGAAATGTTGGCCTGGGGGTCTCTATGAACCCTGGTAACGTTATAACACCGAGGAGCTTCCCAGATCCTGGCTCTAGGTACTGGGGTTGCAAGGCTCCAGGACCAGGGGTACATCCTGGATGCACGTTTCTCCCAGAGCCTTCTCCAAGGAGCAGGCTGCATCAGGCAGCACCTACTCTAAGTGCAGGCTACAGGGACCCCAAGAGACTTAAAGGGTTCTGCATAGACTCATCCCCTGCCCCAGACCCAGCTGGCCCTCAGCAGGCCAGCAGAAACTCTAGAGGAAGCACGGCGGGGAAGGGGGGGATGGGCCAAACTGCAGCCACAGTGCTGCCCGCCCCCCCCGCCCCCACTTGCTACGAGCACCACAGTCCTCATCCAGGGTCAGGGCTGAGACCTAGTGAGGCCAAGATCCCAGAACCCCCCACCTGAGATCCCAAGAGACATAGCAACGTGCTAAAGAACAGCACAGGCTGGGGTAGACTCCTGGGTCTGTTGTTCTCCCTTGTGACCTTGAGCAAGTCACTTGGCCTCTCCTAGGCCAGCAACCTCTCAGCACTACCTGGGGGAGTAACTCGGTGGGCCTCATGTGCTCTGCCCAGGGCTGACACAGCCGGTCAGTGCTCAGGGAGGGAAACTACTACAGTCACTGCCCTGGTGGTCTTTTCCTACCTGCGCCCACTTAGTCAAGGTCCCCCAGACCTCTGCAGTGTCTCGTCCTTGTCCCTGGTGTGCTGTAACATCTGGCCATACCAGACTCCTGGCTCCTCTGATGGGGGACTGCCCTACCACCATGCCTTTGCCCAGGAATACCTTTCCCCTTGCTCCTGTACCTAAATGAATAAATGACCTTGATCTACTTGTGGAAGAAATATTTACTAAGCACCAACTCTTCCTGAACTCATTTGGTAATGAACACGACACAGATCCTTTCCTCAAGGAGCCCCGAGTCTAATGGCTACACAGACCCATCCACAGTTATAAGGCAATGACCCAGATGTTCCAGCTCGTGGGCTGGCCCAGGGAAGAGCCCAGGCTTAGGGTAAGTTACCCAACCTCTCTGGGCCTCATGGTCCTCATCTGTTATAGGAAAATGAGAATTTCCACTTCAAAAGGTGAGGGCAAGACTTTAATAAGATAATGCATATAAAACATCTGGAACATTCACACATGGGATTGATTGCCTCTGCTTATTGCCAGGTGAATCCTGGATCAGAGAGTCAAAGACCTGGGTTCTAGCTCCAGCTCTGCCCTCTATGTGCTGTTCATCTTGGGCAAATTGCTGCACCTCTCGGAGCATCACCTACAAACGGGAACTCCTAGAGGTCTTGGAGGGGCTGAGAGGGATACTAGGAGCTACATTAAGTCCTAATAAGTCAGTTTCCCCCTGCCTCTCACTCTCCGCCATGTGCCCCACCCATCCTACGACTCCAAAGTGGAGAAAGCAGACCCAGGACAAGTGGGCCCAGCCTGATGTCTGCAGTCCGGCTGGTACGACCCAGCCTCAGATCAATCGTGGCTATCTAGGGCCCCCTCTCCTCACTGCTACCTCCGGCCCGTCCCTACCCTCCAAACTACGAGCAGGGAAATGTCTGGTGTATTTGGATGCAGACCTTAGGCATGGTTTCTTGACCTACACTGAGCCATCCGCTCCTCCCTGGCCCTCTGAGCCCCGGAGGCCTGTGTAGGCCGGAACCCCTCAGGGAATCTCTGGTCTGGACTCCTGCAGCCTAGACCAGGTGAGGTGTGGCCACAGAGAGGCAGATGCCATCCCTGCAGCCTGTTTCCTGGTCGGTACAGCCCGCCACCTGCACCCAGCGAACACTACCCACACACACGGACACACTACCCCACGGAGGCACGGCACTCCCCCGCTGGCAGAGCCTCTCGCTTCACGGCCCATCCCATGCTCACAGAGGGGTCAGCCTGGGAGATGACTACCCCCTGCCCTTTGTACAGGGGCGCTCCGGGGCCCGGATGCCCCACCTTCAACCGGCGCCATCCTCCCGTAGACCCTGGCCTCTCCTTCCTGGGCCCCCTCTCTGCGGGGCTGGGGGCTGCCCACACTCAGCCTGTCCCGAGCCCGCTCTGCCCTTCATCCTGGCCCAACTTTCTTCCTTCCCCTCCGCGCCAGTTTTCTGTTTCACAGTGGGAAGGGTGATAGGAGATATTCGAGAAAATCCCTGGCACAGCCCCAGGGAGCACGCAGTGGGCACTCAGGCAGTGAGGATGCCTTCCTAGTCCTTGCCCTGGGTTCCTGCTCCAGCCCAGCAGTGGATAATGAAGGCCCAGGCTTTTCCGGGGGAGCTCAGCACTACCAATTCCTGAGTGCCACGTGCTTTGGCCCCAAAGTTCAGGGCGCTCTGTGCTCCTGGCCTGGGGACCTGGGCCACTCTAGGCAGCCATCTGTCCCACTCTGAAGTCACCCAGCCTCCACTTCCCCAGCTGGGGGTGAGAAGAGGTGCTAGGAGGGAAACCCCAGTGAGGACCCCCCAAGATGAAGCTCGGATCGCCAAGGAGGGCAGAGGACAGATAGGAAGCATCCTGGAGAGCCCTGGTGGGCGAGGAACTGCTGGAGAGAGTGGGGCAGATGGAGCGGCCGCTCCATCTGCAGCACACAGGCCGGGAGATCTGGAAGCAGGGGGCAGCGGATTCCACCCCTTCGAAGAGCAATGCGGTCATCTGGTAATTAGAGGTAATGACCGTTTCTAACTCAGTCCCCCTCGGGGAGGTAATCAAGGATTAGGGCAGGAGGCGGGGGAGTTACCTGTCTGGACATCTCCTCTGGCTTACCTCGCTGCAGCAGACCCCTAATTGAAAACATTTTGGTTTATCAGGGGATGGGGACATGGGGGAGAGGGTAGAAGAAAGGACAGAAGGGAAGAGAGTTCACAAGCAAGGCCTTTGCCAAGGATACCACTGTGGTGGCCAAGGTCTCTCTCATCTGGGAGTCGAGGGTTCTCCTGGGAGTGGCTCAGGGCCGGACACCTGGGTTTCAGCTCCAGCTCAGTCACTCAACCAACATGCGACCTTGGGCAAGTCACTGGCCCTTACTGGGCCTCAGTGTCCCCATCTCATTGTGCAAGCGGGGACACCGAAGCCAGGAGAAGGGCAAGGCCTGCCCAGACGTATACATAGCCAATCAGGCAGAGCCAAGCCAGAACTCAGGCATCCCAGATCCCAGGCTAGAGCTCTTTCAGTCCCATTTTAGAGATGAGGAAACAGACTCAGAGAGGCAGAAGCTATTAATTTGCCTGGGGCATGGCTCGTGGCTAATGGACTGGCAAAGCTCAGGCTGAGGCCCAGGTTCCCAACAGGTGGGCATTCTGGGCCACTGAGCCACATCTGGTTTCAATTTCTGTGTCAGATGCCCCTTTCACCTTCAGCTCCCTTTCCGAAGCCCAGGGCAGCAGGACCCCCGGAGACAACCCCAGGACAGCTGAGTCTCCTGGGTGAGCCCCCAGCCTCCCGGCCCCACTGTACACTTCCCTATTTCCAACTGTCCCATGGCCCCCTGCGACCAAGAAGCCACGGAGCCAGACCCCCTAACTCCACATCCTGCCTCTGCTGCCTACTAACTGTGACACCCTGTGAGTTAGGGGCCCCTCGCGCCTCCATCTCCTGCTCTGTTCAATGGGGGTGACAGCAGAACCCACCTCCCATGCTGGTCGGGAGATTCAAATGAAACAATATACATAAAGTGCTCAGAACAGGGGCACCTGGGTGGCTCAGTCAGTTAACCGTCTGCCTTCGGCTCAGGTCATGATCTCAGGGTCCTGGGATTGAGCCCCGCATCGGGCTTCCTGCTCAGTGGGGAGTCTGCTTCTCCCTCTTCTCCTCCCCCCTCCATTTGTGCACACTCTCTCTCTCTCTCAGAACAGTGCTTGGCATGTAACAAGGCCACAGACACACACACACACACACACACACAGTTGTTAGGCTTAAACTCCACTCCTGTCTCCCCCTATATGTTCAGCTCCAGCAAGAGTTTAACCACTATCAAGGGGTTCAGCCGAATGGAGCCCATCTGCCTGGTTTCTGATCCCACAGCCACCATTCACTAGCTGTGTGACCTTGGACCAGTAACTGAACCTCTCTGTTCTTTAGTTTCCTCATTTGTAAAATGCTAGTGGTAAGAATATCACCTACCTCATGAGAGTATTATCAAACTTAAGTGACTAAAGCTCTTGGAACAGAGTCTGAGGATTTACGAGTGGGCTCCTATAACTCCTGGTTTCTCTGTTTCCCCACTGGGCACTGTCCTGCCTCTCTGCTTTCCTCCCTGCTGTTCCTCCTGCCGAGACGCCTGCTTTGCATTCCATCCTTGGCCATCGAAAACCTACCTACCCTTTGAAGCCCAGCCCAAAGTCACCTCCCTTAGATGGGACTAACCGCTCCTCCTCTGGGCTCCCACACTCCCTCTCCTAGGACGCAGCCCAAAGTCCACTTTGCATTTTTACACGTCCCTCTCCCCCAAGGAGAGGAGCTCCCGTAAGGCAGACACTGAGTTGTATCCATTTTTGCAGCAGCCCAAACTGTGCAGTGGGGATGGCATGGGTGTTGGGCTTAGCTAGCCATCTATTCCAGGCCCTCCCGGCCACATGCCACTTGGGGGCCCGTGCAAGCCACACACTTGTCAGAGCCTCGGCATTCCTGCTGTGGCGTGGGAATGGTAGCAGCATCCCCCCCAGTGCTCTAGGAGCAAGCCTCGTTCTTGGCCTCTGACACTCCTAGTGCTCTTTGGCAAATCATTCCCAGCTCGGGACCTCAGTTGCCTTATCTGTGAAATGGTGTGGTGGGTAAGGAGGGCTTGGACGCTCTGATCAGAGGGTCCCACCAGCTGGCACCCGCAGTAGAAGGTGGCTGACGTCTCACAAAACTAATCAGAAGCAGCTGAGAAGAGCCACTGAGCCCAGGCTTCTTGCAAACAAGAAATGCTAGAAACAAGATGGGGTCCCCCTTCTGAATCACCAATTAATCGATAACTCAGCCCCAGGAGGGGCAGGGCCAGTGAACTCAGGACTGTTTGCCGGCGGCCCAGCCACAATCGCCCTGTCTTGCAGCTAATCCAAGAACCTTCCTCATAGCCCCTCCCCAGCTCCCATAATCTGTCCCTGCCTGTCTTATCTTCGTGGCTCCCTCTCCACACCCAACTCTAGACCTGTCCTGTCCTGGACATCCCCTCCTCCCCACTGGCCCCACACCCCGAAGTCCCAGAGACTCCTCAGGCCCTACCTAGGGCCACCAGGGTTCACAGATCACCCGGGGGGGCCCAGGTATGTGCCCCTCACCAGGTAGTCCCCCCCCCCACCCCGGGACCCCACACCACCACCCTGGTCACTGCTAGAGCGCCTGGGAGTTATTTACGGCCTTCTCTCCTCCAGCCGGCAGGGCGGCTCCTCCAGGAAGGGGCTAGGTGTTACTCCTCTCTCCGCCCCCCTGCACGGCCCACAGCCCTGCACAGAGCCGCACTCCCTTCTGCAGGAGGGAAGAGAGCCTCTGTCTCCCACCTACCGGTCCATTAATAATTTCTAGCTAAAGGAATACCCTTCCCATGTGCACAGCACCTGAGCCGCTTCTCATCCGATCTGAGTGAGCTAGAGACTCCTTCCCTCCTTTGACAGAGGACACTGAGGCTCCCCGAGGTTGAGTGACACTTCCCCAAGGTCACCCAGGTGGAGGGGTCAGGAGACTGACGAGGAAACGTGATATTGAGCAGGCCGGCGCGCAGGGGCACAGACCCTCCTGATTGGGCCCCTTGACCACACTGTCTTTTTTCATCCGCCCCTGTGGAGGTCTTGCGCGACGCTCAGCCGCACGGACCGGGCAATTCTGTCGCTCCTCACGCCCTGTCTCGATCCTGCCTCACAACCCTCGGGGAGGTAAGGACAGTATTTTACAGAGTAGGAAAAGGAGGCTTAAGAAGAGTGACTTGCCCAGGACCCCCAAGCCAACTTCTGCTCCCGGGTCTGGGCACGCTCACGCGATCCCCAGGGTGCCCCCTTCACATTAGCCGCTGCCCCCAACCGCCTGTCCCACAGCCCGACTGCGTAGACGCGAGATCCCCACTTACAGCCATTTGATGCCGTAGCACACGCCGGTCTGGAGCGCCAGGGCGAAGAGGAGCGCCTCGCAGACCCGCGGCCGCGCCCTCATGGTCGCGCGGCACGCGCGCTCGGGGTCGCACCCTGGAGGAGCTGCACCGAAGTCCCGCCGCGCGCGGCCACCGCCGCTCGTCCTGCGGGCACACCGCCTGCGGTCGGGGAGAGCGGAGGCGGCGGGTTAAGGCGGCGCGCGGGGCGGGGGCCGCCGGGGGGGGGCGTTTTATTCAAATTACAAAGGAGGGGTCCGGCCCGGGAGGCCGAGCGCGCGGCGGGCGTCGCCTCCCGCCCCGCACAGCCCCGGGACGCCGCAGGCGTCTGGCTCAAATTAGGTGTCGCCCGAGCGCGGCCCCAGGCTGGGATCCAGGCTGCCGGCGGGCAGGGAAAGGGGCGACTGGACCAGAGACCGAGAGAGAGGGAGATGGCCGGTCAGAGACCGAGGCAGAGGGAGCAGCCGGGCACAAACTGACCTCGGGAGGGACGGAAAGGAAAGGAGGAAGGGGATCAGGGCCGAGGCCGGGCACGCGCGCGCGAGCAGATGGCGGGCCCAGGATCTGCGTTATCTCCAAAATATTAAATACTAGTGAGTAGGGAGGGCCTTGGCAATTATCCTTCCCCGCTGGGCCTCAGTTTACCTCCTCTGTAAACTAGGGACACAACTGTGATTCGATCTGGGATTCAGACACAATTCGCCTTTAATAAAGGAAGTTCATGATCGCATTTGCTCCTCCCAGCAACCCTGTGAGATAGGTACCATCACTGCCCCCATCTCACAGATGAGAAATCTGAGGCCCGGGGATGTGGAAGGGCGTCGTTTATCCAGTGAGCGGCAGGTCCATGCCCCGTGTTCTACTCCCAGGGTCCTGTGAGTTCGCTGATGGTCAGAAGACTAGGAAATAGGGGCTTGCTCTGGGCATCAGTGAAGGGGAGGATGAGAAATGAAATGACAAAGGTCTTTGTACAGTGGTCCCGAGTCTTCAAGTCCCCGCCTAGCGCGGCCCCCCACCCCCACCCCCCCGGCCTTTGGAGTGTCTGCTGGTGCCCAGGCGGGACAGCCTGGCCAAGGCTAAGCAGTACTCACGGGACCGGCGCGAAGCCGCCTCTGGCCGCCAGGGGGCGTCCTGGGGCCGCGGAGCAACCGTTACCCCGCCCGCCCGCAGGTCGCAGGGCCGCTTCTCGGGCTTTTTTCTTTTTCTTCTTCATCTTTTTTTTTTTTTTTTTTTTTTGGTCTTCCCTCTCTTCATTCTCACCTCATTAACTCCCTTCCCAGCTTCTCCCAAATTTACCAACACCTGGCGTTCTCCCGGAGACAAACAGCTCTCCAGCCCCTCTCCCTCTCCCCTGGGGAGGAGCAGAGACAAAGAAAGAGATTCCTTTCTAAAGGGCTCAGGGAGTTTGAAAAGGAGGCGCCCGCCTTACAGGGGGCGCTTGAGCGTGAAGGGGGCGTTCTCATCTGGCCTTGTGAGTTTGGGCGAGCCCTCCACCACCCCCACGCTGTTTCCCCTTCCATGAAACAAGGGACTGGCCTTGACCGCACATCTCCCGAAGTCTTTCAAGTCTCCCAGGAGCCTGCGGGTCTTTGAGCTCCCCTCTCTGCCGGACTTTCCACTGTTACGAATACCTGTGTAGTGTGTGCGTGTACGTGTGCGCCTTAAGCACACACACACACACACATGAAACCGCACTGTTTTCTGAAGGCTTGCGGCATAACCCAGAAGGCAGGGAGAAAACCCTGAATTACGTTTCTTCTTCCTCCTTCCCAGTCTCTCGCTAGGCGCCTAACACGGAGGCGCGCACTACAAACGTGCCGAGTCCAAGGCTAGGGGTCTCAGCGGGGTTCTCAGTGTAACTGAGCCCCCCCTCCTTCCACCCAGCCTGCATCCAAAACCTTTGTCTTTATGGCCCTGAAAGTTTGCCACACTCCTGAGGACGAGAAGTGTATCGGCTGGATATGGGGGGGAGGGGAGAGGATCAAAACTCCAGCCACCGTCTCTTTTCGCCCCCACCCCGTCCCGAAATGTGGGCTCTCCCCCAACACCTCCCGGCAGGCGCCCTGCATTCCTGAGTGGGGAGGAGGAAGGGACTGCACGCGGACAGAGGAGAGTGCGGACTCACAGCGGGGAATCCGTGCCCAGCCCAACTCGCCCAGAGACAGGAGGGGCTGCCCTGGTCACAGCAAACGGGGACCCAGGCCTACAGCTACTCCAGGCTTTTTCTGAGAGGCCCGGTGGTCCCGAGCTTCTCACTCCACCACCCCTGCACGTCGCCGAGAGAGCCTGGCCCCCTGAGTCCTGGCGGATTATTCCTGAAGAGTCCAGGACAGCGGCGCGGGCTGCTGGGTCACCCTCAGCCTGCGCCCTGTGGGTCAGGGCGCACTCGCCTCCCGGAGCCCCCGGCCCGCCAGGGGGCGCTACGCCGGGGTTCGAGGTGGCATCCGCAGCTGCCTCCGGCGCCGTGGGACTTTGGGCAAGTCCCCTCCTCTTCCTGGGCGCCGGTGTCCCCGTCTGGGAATGGGATGAGGCTAAGTGCCCTCTCCACGCTGGTCGTTCTATAAGACATCCACTTGCCGCGGTCCGCCCCGAACTGCTCGACCCCTTGCTTCAGGCCCCAGCGCGGAAGCTCCCGTGGGGCCAGGCGCGTAGTGGTCCCGCGTCAAAGCGCAGCGTCTTTGGGAGAGACAAGCTGTCCCTTCCTCCCCCCGCTGGGGTTAGGGCCCAAGCTCCGCTGGCAGCTGGCGAGAGAAGTGGCCTCCCGGGCTGTGCTCGGTGAGCTCAGTAGCAGCAACCCGCTCCAACAGGTGGTTGTAAGGCTTGGGCTCTGGAAGGCCTTGGAAACGCCGCCGCTAGGGCGGCCGCCCCTCTGAGACAAGCCGGCGGAGCCACGCCGAGCCTCCCCTACCGGGATGAGCTCGCACTGGGCCGGGAGCGGGCACCGCGCTCGGGGCCGAGTGTCCACGCCGCGCGCAAGGTCGGCGCGGGCCGGGCCTGAAGCCTCGGGCTGCGCAGCTGGCTGAGCGGACCCTGCGAGCCGGTGACGCCAAGCGACCGCTTCAAGGTTACCTGCGACGCGAAGCTAGGCCGGGCCCACAACCCGGCTTTGACCCCGCCGGGAGTCTTGCGAAATCTGTCTGCTAGGCTGCGAACTATGCGCCGGGTCACCCGCGAGACGGGTTATTTTGGAAATGGGAAGGGTGGGGTGGAAGACCGCGGGGCACCTCCTGCCACCCCTCTGGAGCCGGACCCTGAGAGCCTAAGGACCCTCAGGGTCACGGAGATGCCTCAGCACCAGGAGGTGGGGGGTGTGGGCTCGTGCGAGAGCTCAGCCAGATGTTCGCGGCAGCTCCAGATGTGCCTCCGGTCCCGGGACAGGACTCTCCTCCTCCCCACCCCCCAGCCTGGAGCTCAGGTCTGTAAACAAAGTCCCAGTTCTCCCCCTTCCCCGCCGCCTCGGGGAGTCGGTCTCAAAGCGAGGCGTCCGCCCCCATCTCCACCCCACCCCCAATTTGGTACGAGCTGCCGTAGGTCTCTGCCTTTGGCCACCCTCTCCCACCCCGCCACACACACCCTCTTGCCCAGCCGCACGATCCAAGTACCCCACCTCCGGGATGGCTCGGGCATGACCTCATTCGCGGGCCGAGTGGGAGGAAGAGGGTCGAATCGGGGGAACGGGGCCGGGAAGGCTGGCAGCGGCCCGCACAATCGGCACAACCCACCTCCAGCATACGGGCGGGGAAAGCCCGCGCCCCCCAGGCCCCCGCGGCTGCGCTCCTCCAGGGGATTCCTCGGAGAACCGCACAGAGGAGGTGTGGAGGAGGACTTGATGTGCTTACCCGCGAGTCGGCGCCCTCCGGGGCCGCGCCGTCCCCCTCGGACTCGGACGCCCCCGCCCTAGCAGGTCCCCCCTGAGCACCGGCGCGCTGCCCGCGGCCACTGCTCACCTCCTGGGGCGCTCGTAGGGCGCGCCCTGAGCGCCCCGCTGCCCCGGCCGGCGGTGGAGCGGCTCGCGCGGCCCCCAGCGGCCCCGAGCGCTCTCCGGGCTGGGCAGGCGGCGAGGGCGCCCTCTTCGCGCAGCGGCCGCAGAAGGACGCCCGGGATCCCGGCGCACGGCGGCCGGCTCCGGTTCCGCGAGGACCGCCTGTAGCGCGGACTCAGGCTGCGGGGGGCTGCGCCGGGCTGTCGGGGCCTGCGCTCGCCCGCTCGCCCGAGCTCTCTTCCTCGCGCCGCACGGCCTCCGGCGCGGGCTGCGCACTCTGCTTTATAAGGCGCGGGCAGTCGCTTTGATCCGCCCACGTCAGCGCGCCGAAACCCCACCGGGCGGCTCGGGCCGCGCGCGGGGGGCGGGGGCGGGGTCCCCGCGGACGCCACGGACCCGCGGCGCCGGCGGCACAGACGACTTCGCACCCTGTTGAGTTACAAAGGGGAGGACTTCTTAACTGTAGCCGGGGTTTAATAAGCGTGCCTGCCGCCAGCCTACTGCGGACCTGCGGTGCGTGCCGCCCAGGTAGGGCAGGTTTCTAAAGCTCGCAGCCAGCCGAGCAAGGAACCTCCGCCAGTCTGCTTGGACAGAGGAGGAAGCCAGGCTCACAGGGAAGTCCCGCTTGGGTCTCAGCCTGGAGCCCGGCGGGTATCACGAGGTGCTCGTCTTGCAGCTCGGTTACTTGAGGCGTCGGGGGTCCCGAGGACTGCGTTGGCGTCCCAGGACGTCCTTCGAAGGGTCACCTCTCTAGTCCTCTGGTTCCAGTTCTGGAGAAGGGATCCGCCATCCCAAGCTTTCTGCGGAGAAAAGGAGCGAGAGCGCGCTGCCCTGTGAAGCGCGCTGTAAACCTGAAGCCCAAGAAGGCAGGCGGTCCAGCCTCTGGGGCGACTGTGGGGAGTTTTCTGGACATCTTGCCTCCTGTCCCCGGGGGGGGGGGGGGTACCAGCGGATAACTGGGTTTTAGAAACTAGTTAGGACTACAGAGGTGCTTCCCATCCAGCATGGAGCCCGCCTGGGGCTAGGGCTGTGTTTCTGAGGCAACTCCCCTGGGACTGGTTAGGTGAGTGCCCATCCCTCTCCGCACATACCCCTTGGCCTTTCTGGCTGACGGTACATCCCCCTCTCCCATTTCTAACTTGCTGAGTCAGGTGCTGAGGTTTCCATGGCTTCTGTTTGCCCCAATGCCAGGGGCCTCAGTCCCAAGCATAATCTCAAGGATAATCTAGTTCATTAGTAGAAGAGAGATATAGACTTAGTGACAAGGGGCTTGCCTCAGGTCCCTAAAACACCCGGTACACTTTTGTCCATTCTCTGCAGCCGTCCACCAAGTGGCCCCCATAGGCTGCCCCACCCTGGCTGCAGGTACTGCCACCTACACACACATCCGGGCCCACAGAGCCCACCGCAGGCTTTTAGCCATACAAACACTCTCTGCACGTGACACACAGGGCTGGGACATATCACCCCACAAATGGTCACAACACACTCAGGAGATACTCACACACACCATATGCCCACACACACTCAGTAGCAGATACAGGGGAAATGGCCATATACATCTTCAAGATGAGGCCGAACACATGACTGCCTCCATCCAGTTCGTGCACACACATGTGCTTCCTTGCACACAGTGAGGATGCACACGCAGCTTCCAAGCGTGCCACACCAAATGCACATATACTCCTGCATAGAGTCATAGGAATGTCCTTGTGAACACAGGCTGGGACACCCCCATCTCCTCTCCCAGAGCATTAGGGTCAGTAAAAGCTGTGGGAGGCTAGGGGTTATAAAAGCTGCAGGAAGATAGTGGGGCTTTGGGTGGGGTGTCTAGAAAGGGGGCGGGGAGAGACAAGGCTGCTCCACCTAAGAGGCATCCAGACTGCCCTTAGCTCTCCCACCCCAAGGCACTCTGGCCACCACAGTCAGAGCCATTCCAGGTGGCCTCTGTCCAGTTAGGATGCACCCTCCTCTGGGTCTTTCTGCTTAGAGAGAAGCTAAATAAGTTGCCTGCAAACATTTGCATAAGCGGTCCTTCAGCCAGAAATCTCCTTCTGGCTCCCAGGTAGAGTAGAAACAGAAAGCATTTTGGAGTCACAACACTAGGGCTCCAATAGTGATTTTGCCCTATTTTATTTTTTAACAGTGTGATCTTGAGCAAGTTGCTTAAACTCCCCAAGTGTTAGTTTCCTCATCCATAAAGTGGGAATAATGCAATCCCATCAAATCTATATCCTCCAAGATGGGATTAGTATCCCCATTTCATAGATATGGAAGCTGAGGCTCAAAAGGGTGGGGCTGGCAAGCGTTGGAGCTGATATCTGAACGTGGATCTTTCTGGCTCAGTGCGCACTGTAGCTGATGGCCCCTATTGAATCGAATGCGAGGATCCTGACTTCCCACGTCTGGATGGAGTTGAGAGAATCCAGGAGAAAGTCCCAGAATTCCTGAAGCACAACCCTGAGCCCTCCTGCCCACCCCCCCACCCCCCATACTCAGCTCTCTCTTGTGAATCAAGACCCAGGCATTAGCTAGGGCTGAAAACCCTGCCCTGGGAGGTGAGGGGAGGCATGAAGTGGAGGCAAAGCCCTGGATTCAGAGTCAAGGGAGGCCCAGGGCAAGAGTCTGCCCCTCCCTGTACCCCAGGCTCCCCATTTGCATAAGGGGAGTAGTTTACCACCTCAGACATTCTGGGATTCTCAGAGACACTTGTGAGAAAAAGCTTTTTTCATCTTTAGGACCAGCTGAACTCACCCCTTCCCTTTCCCTCCTCCTTCCTTCTGTCCAGGGGCTCCTCAAGGGAGCTGGGCCACCTGGGTTGCAAGCTCCCCTTCAGGGGGAGGAGGCTCTGATCTAGGCTGGGCGGCCATGCTCTGGGCTGCTGCTTGCTCTAGATGTTAGTATATTTTCCTTCTCCGCAGTTACCCCCGGTGATTCTGGTTCTCTGATCGCCCAGACGTGCTGGGGGCTTCCTGTCCACAGGCTTCTCAGCCCCTGCCTGACTGCCATTGGTCAGGACCACACACCTTTCCGTCCCCCACCCCTGCACACAGCCTGCTGGGGCAGGGGGCACCCAGGCTGAAAGGACATGGGGTGGGCGAAGCTACAGTTCTAGTTCTGTTCATCATGCCGGCCTCTACTGGCCCCTCCACCCACCTCAGCTTCCCTCCCTTGGGGCCAAGGCCTTGGTGGAGCTGCTGGGGCGAATCGGCTATTTCCGGGAGCGCTGGATGGGGAGACAGGTGACCTGGAAGTAGGCCTTAACACTGTCAGTAGTTTGCTGGGTGATAGCAGATAATTGTTTTGCCCTTTCTGAGCCCCGGGCACCCCATCTGTGAGGGGGTTATACTAGGGGGTTATATATAGAGAGGGGGTTAACCTCTGTGGGCTTTTCCAGCTCCAGAACCTGGGTCTTGGATCTCCTTGACTCTTAACCTGTGGCAAAGGATGAACCATGGACGCGGTGCACACTATGAGACCGAAGGGTGCTATTTCCAGCTCGAGGGTGCTTTCTAGAAGGTAGTCCTGGGAAGGCAGGTGAACAGGGGTCTGGACAGAGTATTATTATTGTCACTGGTCTGAACTCTTTCTGGGAAGGCCAGTGAGATAGTTTTGAACGGCACCAGGCACCAATTCCTCTTTTTTTTTTTTTTTAAAGATTTTATTTATTTATTTGACAGAGAGAGACAGCGAGAGAGGGAACACAAGCAGGGGGAGTGGGAGAGGGAGAAGCTGGCTTCCCACCGAGCAGGGAGCCCGATGCGGGGCTCGATGCGGGGCTCGATGCGGGGCTCGATCCCAGGACTCTGGGATCGTGACCTGAGCCGAAGGCAGACGCTTAACGACTGAGCCACCCAGGCGCCCCGGCACCAATTCCTCTTATCCCGGGACACACACCCCCCTTCGAAATGTGACTCCATACAGAGGTGAAGTTTATTTCCCCACCTCTTCCTCCGGGCTGGCCTCGTGGCTCGCTGGGACCCAAGAGTGTGACAGAAGTGAAGCTGTGCGTGTTCTGGGGCCCAGATGCCAGGGGCCTTGCAGCTTCTGCGCGCACCCCCCGGAGCCCAGCCCAACTGCACGTCAGAAGTCTGGCCAGAGCTACAAACTAAGAGGGAGGCCCTGGGGCCACACGGAGAGAGGCCAGCCTGGACCAGCCAGCCTGGCAGAACCCAGGTCCGGCTGACCCACCAGCCAAATGCAGCCGTCCGGGCAAGCCCACTGGGAGCGCCGGGACGGGCCGGGCAGCCCGCAGGATCAGGAGAATCAGTCAGCTCTT